CGTTATGAACAGAATTGCTTTTGTGATGTCCATGGTCTCCTTTTTTTTTAAGTGGGAGATGGGCAACTACAGTGTCAAAAGCGAAGAAACAGATTACTAGTTTTGTATATGCAAAAAAAAAGACTTTCTAAAGAGTAAAATGATAGCATTTGTTTTTGGTCTGTGGGAATGGGTTCTTGTTTTTAGCTGAAAGCTTGTTAAATTTTCTCTTTCACCTGGAAATGTACGTGATGATCCAGCCTACCATGTGTTAGATTCTCTGGTGTTAGGCCAAGCATTGGAGTCTGTGGCGAACTGCTTTGTCTGATTTTGTTGAACTGTTTAATCCTTTTGGTGTCTGACAGCTGTGTGCAGAATTGGTCTGGTCGCTTAGCAATACTGGCATTGGATGAGATGGAGGACTTTATCTGGGTGAGGTCTAGATTTGTACAGTGGTTATACAGGAGTAGAATTCCGAGAAACTTATGGGTAAATAATTTCCAGTTATACACACATATAAAATCTTTATATATATATATATACACAGTTTATAAACATTCATATGCACGTGCCAGTTATTTCCAGTCTGTTCAAGTTAAAGACAACGTTTTTGCTAAGTAATCTTACTAGCTTTAAAGGAAGTTTAGATGTAGGAATGTTGTATGTTCGTGCCTACAGCGTGTGAGATATGCTAGCCCATGAGAGACATAGGATCCTATAGGAGAGTAAAAAATGGCTTATTGCTAATTTTTTAAAAAACGCATTCTGTAGGGAAGAATTCATGGGTTGTGAGTACTGGAAGATGACTGGGTTCTCTTGCACTGTTACTTTGGGAAAGTCATTTTCCTTTCTTCATTCCTGTAGAACAGAAGTGTTAAAATAATAGAACTCTTATATTTCTTCCAGCACTGTAAAGGGATGATTGTGACAGGATTATTTGAGTGAGTTACCACTTGCATCTTATGTTATTTTCATATGTATGAAATTTTTTGGCCATTTTCCATTTCGCTTGTTGATTTAATTTTAATTATAGACTAGTAGATGAAAAGTATATAAAAGTCCTCAGTTCTGTAATCACGAAAAATGGTTTCTATATATGAAAATATATTTTAACATTTAATTGTAGTTTCAACTATGCCTCTTCTTCCCAGGGATTCTGTACCATTGGTATTTGATAGAATTTAGCATATTCATGGATTGAGAGTTTAGATTTCTTTAAATCCCCTTTTCAGTTTTTCAGCATCATCTGCATCAACACTTGATGATTTTTAAGTTATATAAGTGGTCTGTAGTTTTTTAGTTTTATAAAGAGTAACTTTTTAGTCACTTGACTCCTGTGAAAAATAGACTGTAAAGTTGAATTTTTGAACTGCTTTTAAATGATTTATTATTTTGAACCCAAATAAAATGGAGCAAAAATACTTGCATATACTCATTGTTCACTTTGTGGAATTTGTGGGCTTATACCTGAACTTTTACTTCAAATTACCAGGTTATTTAGTAAAGCAGGACTATTTTTGTCTTTTTAAAATAGTCTAATCCTTAGAAACATTGTTGGACTGCCTGGCTATAACTAATTACTAATTGTAATTTATGTACTATCTGTGGTTGGATAAAATACTTTATATTTGAATAGCACTTTTAAATTGTCAGCCCCAGTAGGTTTTCTAAAATTGTTTCAACTGTTGGGAAAACTAGAAGATTCTTCATACCCTAACTATTATTTCTTCACCTGAGCAATAGCTATAATTTTTAAGAGAATGAAGGAATGGACAAGTATTGTCTGTTCAGGGCTTGGTAACAACAAGTACAATTGAAAATCTGATTTTTTTTTCTTTCTTTGTTGGCTTATGTTTACCTTAATGTAAAATGGACCAATGAAATAATTGGGCTTTTGTCTATTGGATTTTAGGTTTTCATGTGTAATGTAGACCATATCCAATTATCTTTTTCTCGGGGATAACAAAACTTGTAAAGCAAATGACAAGGCTATTTATATTTGTTTTAATTAATGAGAATTTCAAGGTATCATTACAGAAAAATATCTAATTACAGTTGATAGTGTCTAAGATGGAGCTACATAAAGTAATAAATCATATTCCATTTTAAGCAATTTAAAATTTACTGCAGTGAGCCATTTTGTTTCCATATTTTTTTTAAAAAACACTTGAATTAGAGATTTAAAAATTGAAAGAATTCTTTAAAAATGGTCTTATCCATAGCACTTCTCAATCTGGATTTAAGTTATCACAAGGGACTACCAAATATACACCATGCATGTTATCCTGCCTGCACAAGTGTCTCAGCTATTTATCATTTTCCAAAAAATTGAGATTTTTTTTTAAAAAATGCATTCATTTAAGAGCAGTATTAACTCCATGTTAACTTTTTGTCCAATTAGGTTTTTTAATCTGATGATAAAAATACAGCCATTTTAATGATCAATTTTTACTATTAATGTTATCCCATATAGAAGGACTAGGAACTAGTAATCTCAGCCAGCCCTCTGGAATAGGAAGGGGAAGACATACTTAAGCATTTTAGTAAAGAGATCAAGGACTGAATGGCCTTCTATTATCAGTCGTTTTCCTTGAAATGAAATTGTTTTGTTTCCCCAAATGATCTGTTTATAGTCATTTTATAAAAACACCTCTGGGTCAACAGTGACACTCTTATATAAATAAGTGTGGTGAATACTTCTGTCTTTTTCTTATCTTTATCCTTAGCAGTATTTCACATTGTCCTCCTAATATGTTTCCTGTTGTTGCTAGATACCACACTTTCCTGATTTTTTTTTTCTCTCTAAATATCCTGAGACGTCCATCGCTTTCCAGTGTCTTTTCTCTGCTTTTTCCTAAAAGGACATTCATGGTTCTATCATAAACATTCTTTTATAATCCACACATTCCCTGAATATTGCTTGCCCTCCAGCAGCTTCACTTAGCACTTACATATTAATTTTTTATCTCTAGCCCAAACCTTTCAGGGAGCCTGACTTAAAAGGAATCTTCATTATAACTCATAAGTATTTCAGTGTCTTCTTTTCCCTGCTTGTTAATAAATGTGCCTTATCTAATGTCCCAAGATAGAAACTTAGGTGTCATCACTGTGCCTTTACCATTCTCATATTCTCCACATCTAATCTGTTAACATATCCAGAAAATTCTACATCAGAAATTTATCTTACATAGCTGATTACTTTATTCCCACTGTTACCATTTATTCCCGCTGCTATCATTTCTCAGCTGATAACTGTTACTCTGTTGGCCCTTTCTCTCCATAGTTTCTGTATTCATAGTTAACAAATCAAGGATTAAAGATATTCAGACAAAATCACACCTCTACTGAACATGTGCAGACTTTTTCTTGTTATTATTCCCTAAAAGATACAATATAATAACTATTTACTTAGCATGTACATTGTATTAGGTAATCAAATAGTTTAGAGATGATTTAAAGTACCCAGGAGAAGTTGAGCATGGTGGCATATAGCTGTAGTCTCAGTTCCTTGGGAGGATCTCCTGAGCCCACAAGTTTGAGACTAGCCTGGCCAACATAACAAGACTTTGTTCCCTAAAACAACAAAAAAGGATGCAGGAGGAAGTTATTAGGTTATATGCAAGTATGGGAACCTATTATATAAGGGACTTGAGCAACCACAGATTTTAGTGTGGGAGAGGGAGGTCCTGGGACTAATCCATGTTAATACTGAGGGACAACTGTATTGTCTTCCCCCCAGTCCATTTTGTCACTATTTGAGTTGATTTCATCAGTTCCATGCTTACAATGATAAAGTGGCTTTTGATGAAGATGAAGTTCAAACTCCTTGTCATGATGTAAGACCTTCCATGGTATTGATTCTGCTTACCTTTCAACTTCATTTTGCTTGCCACTTCCTCTTGATTCTGGCCTTTGGAAGATGTGTGAACACTAGCCAGTACCCCCTTATCTACTCCTTTAAGTCATAACATTGAGGTCATTTCACCTTTTCTGAAATCCTTAACTACATAAGCCTACTACTATATGATTCCATAACAACTCAGACTTTTCCCTGGTCTCATGGTACTAAAATTGCATCTTCCTATCTTTACCAGCAAACTCTTGAATGTATGAAGACTGGGACTGGCTCATTGTTCTTTTCCACTGTATTTTCAGAACTTGATAGAATGCTTGACACATAGCAGGTTTCAAATGGATGAATCAATAAAACTATTCTGTGACTAATAATTAAGGGCTTGACATCTAGGCATGCATACGTATATATATATGT